AGCCAATACCACTGTGTAGGCCAACACAAAACTTGGCCCAAACAGTTCTGTGACACAAAGGTTCTGATTTCCAAACACTGTAAAGTCAGTGAAAAACTCACTCTGAGGTCAACTGAACTTGAATTTGGCCTTGAAAACAGTATTTGGTTTAAACTTTTTCCTACTTTTTGAAGTTATTTGTTTACTTAAAAAAAGATATTTAGACTTGACACCTCAAACATTACTGAAAGTGACATAGTCTTCTTTCAGTAAGGTTATCCAGTGTGGTGAAATATTATCCATAGTTTCCTTAAAGTTATTTTCCTGCATTAACAATACTTAGTTCAAGTCTTTAATGGTTCTGTAACTCACTGACATCAGTAACTGCTTGGTTTGGTTAGTTAATTTTACAGATCTGTAAGTTTTGGGGCTTGTTAACAGTTCTGCTTCAACATCTTGTCTTAATTAGGCAAATGTTAGGTGAGATCAGAAAATTATTCTTTGATTACTCTAAATGCAGGAATGATTCTTGTCTGTGAAGTGATCATTTAAAATACACTAATCAACATTTAGGAACACAAAGCTTGATTTTCACCTCAGTTTTGTAAATTTTGCATCTCAGTCACTGCACTGACATCAATAAGGTTACTCCAGGTTTACACTGACAAAAGCCCATATTTTCCCTTTGATACGTTCACAGGTTGTAGCTATCTTTGGCAATTATATGCTCATGTTAAAAATCATAGTCTGTTAAGTTCTAAATTCGTAGAAACTCAACTGAGCCATGTGATTATAAAAATTGAAGAGTTCACAGGTACAGACAATGACAGGATTTCAAAAAGACAAATATGGACAGAAGCGGTCACAATTTCTTCACAGAAGACCAAGCCTCTGAAGAGTTTAAGAGACAGCAACATCCCTGTATTTTTCAGCACATTACTAAAGCAGGCAGATGCTGAATGCCTTATTTCCATAACCTACAGCAGCAGGGCCTCTTTAATGGACTTGTGCAGGTGCAGGGTTTTTTGACACTTTTTCCTTACAGCCAACTCTGTTTTCTTTCTCTCTTCCAGGTTTTAGTGGAAGGTGCTGGGGTGGATGAATGGGTGCCTAGGTTTTAAATAATGGTGACTGAGGTGAAATTTGAACACAAAAGTTTCAACTGAAAGGTTGCCTAGGTATCTGAGTGGCCTGCATATATGGCAAGTAGCAGACTCAGCATGAATAAACTAGCATTGAATGACTAAGTGTTTTCTAAACCATCATGGTAAGAGATTAGCTGTGATTACCAGCCCTCTATGATCATAAGGATAACTATATATATATATATCTATTTCTCTGGTTACACATTTGCAGAACTTGCAGGTATTAATAGACAATTCATAAAAGCTACACTGTAAATTGGGGGTACAGGTTGTAGCCATGTTGGTCTGCAGGCAAAAGAAATCAGAACTCTTGGGGGAGGTGATATCTTTTATTAGACCATTTGCCACTGTAAATTCTGACATTAGGTCTAATTGTGATATCATACCTGAGAAAATCAGGATTAGCTGTACTGACTACTGTTTTGGACCTTATGTACCCTATGTTAATGAGCTCAGGTGCATTGTTTGCTTTCATAGGCATTAAAAAATGACAAACTATGAAGCTTTGGAGTTCACCACATATTCCACAGCAGCATGGAAAGAAGGCTAATTGAAGTCACTAATCTGGAGCCAGCAATATGGAGAACAAATGATATGCATACAATTGAAAAAACAAAAACAAA